GTTGGAGGCCATCGCTAGTAGGTTGGAGGCCATCGCTAGTAGGTTGGGGGCCATCGCTCTTAGGTTGGAGGCCATCGCTCTTAGGTTGGAGGCCATTGCTCTTAGATTATTTCCCTAAGAGTGCCCTAACCCTCAACCTTTTGATTTCGCACCCCCCGAATCTCAGACTCTTCCAGCGACCCCTCTTGACCAAGGTCTCAGTCACCAGCACCTTTTGCTGGCCTGCTTGGCAGCATGGCTGCTGCACATCGCCGTGTCCTCAATGTGAAAATGTTCAAGCATGGAACATATGCGCAGCCATATGTTGTGCAGCACAAGCCCCAACCGCATGCACAAATCATGCGCAGCCACGTGCAGTCGTGCAGGTTCAGATGTCATGCACCAAGATGGGACTCATTGGGCCAGGTCTTGCACCTCCTTCTGCTGATCTTCGTGGTGCCTTTGGGCGACAGTGAGGCTGGCCACCGGATTCACGTGCGGATCGAGACGGAGGTCCGGAGTGGTGGATTGCTTGTGACCCTCTACCAGAAGGAGCACATACATGCCGTTGCACACCTCTCCACGGTCTCAGCGCGCAGCGCAGGCAAAGAGCTTGGCGCCTCATCTTCGGCAGTATCAGCAGGTGGCAGCGATGGTGCTGTGCTCAGCTTGTCCCACGCGCTGTTTGGGTGTCGGTCGAGTCAGGTCATGTTCGGGACGTCTCTGCAATGGTTTCCTTTTCTTTTACCTTTGTTTCTAATAGCAATGGCCTCCAACCCAATCGTGAGGGCCTCCACCCTAGTAGCGATGGCCACCTACTAGCGATGGTTTCTTCAATATTTTAAACGACGTGTGAAGTAGAGATGAGAGATATTGAGAGATGTCGTAGGGATACTGAGATGCACTGGGGTTTGTGACTCACATCCATGTCTCCAAAATATATCCAAACGTCCAAAAGTAATTATTATGTCATGAAGTCTCTCGAACGCCTGGTTGGAAACTGGAGAAGCAGGGTCATTCCAGTCCATTCTTTTTGCTAAGCCGCATTACTTGCTTTTCGGCATTTTTCGGCAAAGGCAATTTGTTCAAAACATGTTTTTGGAAGCAAAGGGTGCAAGCGCAGTCAGCAACAAATCTCCAACCTGGACCGCAAATTCAAAAGGAAAAGCAGCACCTTGCTCCTCGTGAGGAGCCGTGCAGCTGGTTTTCGGCCAATCCGATTCATTGTCTCCGCTCCAAACACGTCCACCGTCATGGAGTCCCTTGCAGCTTTTTCACGCCTGGGCAGGAGTGTGGTGGTGATGGCTTTGGTGACGAAAGACACCCCGCAAACAAATCTGCATGGCAGTACCCTAAGAGGTCCATCCTCCCACCATAGGTCTTGGCTAGTAAAGAAGGCCTGAAAAATAACGATAGATCAATACTCTCCTACTAGCAGGCCAATCTTCAACCCTTCGTTGAGAAACATCGAAACCCCTTTTGCTGCAGGAGAGCACCATGGAGGTCAACGAGTCCATCGGCTGCTACTTTTCCTCTAAGAACATCAAGGCCCGGGCATTGCTCATGTTGCGAGCGAAGATTCTGTTGAGCCAAGAATTTGCGGTTTATCACAGTTGATCCTTTGCATGGACTTGCAAGTTGTCCGTCGCACACATGGGCTCAGAGCATTGCTTGGCTGTGAGTGATCCTGGATCTGCTGACTCGGCCTTTGCTTCTCGCAATGTTGTCCCTCATCCGTGATGCCTTCAGGGTGTGCACTTCCATGGGCACGAAACCCATGTTTGGCATGCAGATCCCATTGGTTTGGACCATTGCTATGGTGAGTGGCGTCTACTTCCACAACGTGCGGCGCGACGCAGTGAACCCGGCCTTCAACAAGTTGCAGGGCTCCAAAGCAGCCGAGGAGTACTAAGCTGCTATCTCTTGAGATAGCATGGCCATGCTGCCATCGTGTGCAATGCTCAAGTTCTGATGGGCTGGACCGACCCGCATGTTAGAGATATCTTCGATGAATGTGACCAAATGTTTGAAGCGAAAAGAAGTGCGACATTCTTGAAGATTGGCGGCACTGTTTTCTTGAGTCGCAAAGTAGCAGCATCACCCTTCAACGCTGACAGCATTGCTTGCATTTGAGTCTAAGTGGGGCATCTTTAAAAGAAAAAGTGTTGACCTGTTTCATGCAGGTGGAAGACGCCTCCGACTTTGAAATCCGACTTCCGCATGTACCAGGCAGGTTGTGGGACCGGCGCAAGATTGTGAGCAGACCCAGAGAGATTGCATAGTTCTGATGGATGGAGAAAAGTCCTTATCAGCTACTGTAGAAGTTATCATTCTTATCATGGTTGTGCTGTATGCAATATGGCGCGGAGAAGGGTAAACATGACTCAGGGTTGTCTCGTCATCGAGCCCATATTGATGGAAAATTGATGAACATTGGCTCACCAAGGTCGTTGGGACTTTGCTTTCCCCTCCGCGTTGACCTCACTCACATTCTTCCAGAGTGTGAAGGCCATGGCTACGGCAGGAGGTTTGGCTTTGCTCGTGCATGAAGAAGAGACCTTACAGTACATGATCTTACCTTTTGCAACAAGACACATGGAATATGGGGTCTGGAAACCCGACAGAGCTGGTTGTTTTCAATTCTTTCGATGGTGTTTTGAGGGCGGCTTTGGGGGGAGAGTCAACTGGGCAAGATAAGTTGTTGATGTGAGGCCGACCATGGCACATGACCCTCGGCCGAAACCTGAAACCTGCCACAAGAGCAGACGGGCGGTTCCAAAAAGCGATTGCCAGCGCCAGCTGCTTTGTTTTTGCATATTCTAGTGGTTTGAGCAAGGAGAGTACCTGCCGGTCACTTGGAACCAAGAGGAGAAATTTGCTTGCACAATCACTTTGCAGCATTTGGCTATATACGAAGGCTAGATGTATCAAGGCAGGTGCTCATTCACGACAGGTCGAAAAGAGCCTGCACAGGCATCGAAGGAATCCTCAGGAAAGAGTACCTAGATGAGCCTCCCAAACGGATCCAAGCAGTACGTAGTTTGTAGGCAGATTCGCGCAAGAAAGAGTCTTTAGTACGTGCAGCATGATTTCTGAGGTGTGCATAACTGTGTATAGATTTTATAGATTTTAAATCTATGAAATCGTGCCATGGACATCCTTCCAGAGAGCCAGCCTACAAGCAACCTATTTTGACGCAGCAAGGAACTGTTGACAGCCTTGAACGAGTTCAAAGCAGCCTTCAGTCGCAAATCGCAACAGTGGGACCCTGTCAATGTCATTCTGGTAGAAGGCTCCATCACCTCTTTACACGATAGGGATTGATGGAGCGGCTTGGGTGCACCCCTTGACGCGCCTTTTGGGGGGGAACGAAGCCCCGGAACTTCTGAATAAAAGCAGGCGATTGACTTCTTTTCAGGCGGCACATATACTAGTCTAGTAGCTTATTGTTACATATTGTTACTAGTAGCTTCTTTACGTGCCAAATAGTACTAAGCTGACCCACTTCCACAGCCGGTGAGCCATGCTTGGTCTTGCTGGAGGACAACAAGGTGGAAGTCAGAAAATCCATCATTAATTCTCCTCCAAGAACATCAAGGCCCGGGCATTGCTCATGTTGCAAGCGAAGATTCTGTTGAGCCAAGAATTTGCGGTTTATCACAATTGATCCTTTGCATGGACTTGCAAGTTGTCCGCCGCACACATGGGCTCAGAGCATTGCTTGGCTGTGAGTGATCCTGGATTTGCTGACTCGGCCTTTGCTTCTCGCAATGTTGTCCCTCATCCGTGATGCCTTCAGGGTGTGCACTTCCATGGGCACGAAACCCATGTTCGGCATGCAGATCCCATTGGTTTGGACCATTGCTATGGTGAGTGGCGTCTACTTCCACAACGTGCGGCGCGACGCAGTGAACCCGGCCTTCAACAAGTTGCAGGGCTCCAAAGCAGCCGAAGAGTACTAAGCTGCTATCTCTTGAGATAGCATGGCCATGCTGCCATCGTGTGCAATGCTCAAGTTCTGATGGGCTGGACCGACCCCACATGTTAGAGATATCTTCGATGACTGTGAGCAAATGTTTGAAGCGGAAAAAAGCAGCGCCTTGCGGCATCAGTTGTCCGGGTCAAACAGGAAGCAGAGGCTTTTTTCGATTCGCACATTGGAAGTTCATGTGTTCGTGCGCATGCAGGTAGGAGATGCGTCAGACTTTCAAATCCGACTTCCACATGAACCGCGTGAATCCGCTCAGTACTACCATTTGGGCCTGGATCTTGGAGTGAGTTACAGCCATGCTGGATTCAGTGTGTGGAGATTCCTGGTGACTTGGGTTGTCTCTCCAAGGTCGTACTTCTCGTTCTCAGAAACGCTTTTGGCTCAGCATGCAGATAGAGCCTTTACTTGCTTGCTGGTTTGGGGCGAAACTGGGTATGGTGGGATGGCAAGCATGAAACAAAGCCGCCAATTCGACAACCGGTCCAAGTTCTTGGGCCCTAAGGTGGAGTGCTTTGAGAAGAGGACCTTTCTTTTTGGGATTTGTCTTCCGTCAGCCCGACTCACCTGTTTTGAACAGACATATGACATATGTGACCGGAAGAGGTCGCTGATTTTTTGCAGCCAACTTGTGCGATTTGGAGACCAACCAGGGTACAGACACGCGGAGCAACTGCGGCAAATGGGAACTGCTTCAGATAGGTCTTTGGAGACGCTGGCAGCACATGCTTTGGAGTGAAGGGACTTGCCTGTGGTTGTTGCTGTTGCTCTCTCTGGGAAGAGACACAAACTGGTGCCCAACATAATGATCACATTTGTAAGCTTGGAACTTTAGTTAGGGGGCCATGGTTAGGGACATCGCTACTAGTTACTAGGGACAAGGACGCTACTACGGGCTCCTGGCATCGCTACTAGGAGCAAGGATGCTACTAGTAGCTCCTGGCCTTACTACTAGGAACAAGAAGCTTAAAGATGCTTAACGGTATTTTTTGGAGGGGTTGGTATCCCAAGTCGTTGAGGTCGGAGTTTAGTGTTCTTGGTGTTGTGCGGACGGGAGGTTGTCAACAAAGAACCCCGGGCTCCAGTCTTGTTTCTACCCCCTTGTGTGGACAAAGGCATAAGATATTCACGTCGCTTCGCGACGGTAACCGCCCGCACCGCATATTCCCACCGAATATAACAAAAAGACTGCTACCGGAACACGATCTGGAAGGGGGTCTTGTGCTCTTGGAGCTTCTAGGGCTCTGTTAGATTTTATTCCAGCTTACGACTCAAGACCCTATCTCGCAGACACGTCCTTTAGATAGTGACTTCTAGGGCTCTG